TGTAACAGAATTTTGCTAGCCAAGGAAGCGCCGTTACATCGAGGCTAGCTGCTTTACTTTTTTTAATGCGATGGCATTAACTCTCCCATGGAGCCAACCGACGTCATCAGCTTTGAAGCTGCGCCAAACGGTACATTCCCTTGTCCCAGTGGAACAAAGCCTGTCGTCTGTAGCATAAATCGGATGGATAGGCTCCCATTCGCTGGCGCGCGTCATCAACGAACGAGGCTCCCATTGGCTCTCGCGCAGCGTAGTTAAAAAAAAAAAAAACGCCACCCGAGAAGCCCTCTCCATCGAATCGCAGCGCACGCAGCGGCCCGGCCGCATGTAAGAGGTGTGGCAGTGCTGGCCTGATCGCACAGCCCGGTCGGGCAAACTCCGGAGAGGCTGCACGGCCGAGCTCAGCGTGGCGCGGCCACTTCACGAGACCGCGCGCTCGGACGTCGGCCGCCAACTCTGCAGTTGCGAAACGTGGCCGTCCACGCCACTACGCTGCTGGCGAACTAAGGGAGCGGAAGAACGACATTCATGCTTTCGCATTCTAAACTCATAAGTGGTGCTTAGCTGTGCCGGAAAGTTTTTCATTAATTGTAATATTCAATCTACCGGAAACCCCACTGCCTGAGAAATCGCGTTGACGGGTTTTCGGTGGTGCTTTTAAGTCCATGGGCAATACGCAAAATAGCAGCGTCCTTAGCGGTTTAGGTGCACTGTGTGAGGAGGAGACTGTCAAAGGGTAGTTTCAGCTTCGGTTTCGCCGGAATGTGCATCTGTCGTCTGTCATCTTCTCCGAACCGCCATTGCTCACGTCGTCGTGGACCGCCCCAAACACTCTATGAAAAAAATGTAGGAAAAGCGTAGAAACGACGTGTTTTCCTCCCTTCTACCGACGCACCCCCAAGTGGATACGAGAAGAAGAAAAGAACGAGACAATTTTCTCCTTCTCCCGGCAGACGAGAGAAAGGTACCGGCCTCCCGCCTTATGTTCTTTCGATTTTGTTTTTCGAGCTCGTCGCGCGCGCGCTTTGATAAATGTTGTTCAGTTGATTGAACTTCAGCGGCAGCGAAGGCCGCCTGTGATTCCGTCTCCCAGTCCAAACGTGCCGAACATTTCGGTTATATTGGCATTTTTACTACTAATTTTATCAAGCGAGCAAACGAAGCCGCTAGGAGCAGCGAAGTTACGGAGAGGTGCCAGCAGCGCTACATGCACTGTGCTAAGATGGCCGTCTCCTGGTTGTGTAACCTACAGTATATCCTCGCAGTTTTCCTACTGTAGAACCACTTTTTGTATTTCGTTTTTAATGTTTTCTTTTTTTAAAATGGCGGCCCCTATAGCATTTTGTTTACTGGCTTTTCGCGTCCGCTTGCGTTGCGCCTTCGCTTTGTTGTGACGTGCGCACCACTTACGACAACACAAGTAATTTTTTCACGCAAGAGTTATTTTAAGCAGGCAACTGTTTATTTTCGCTCTACATACTACAATTGATACAAAAACGTAACAAACACTACATGCAATGATGTGGTTCTTCACGGGTATTAGCGAACAGACACGGTAATACAAACAGTTTGAATGTTAGCCTTCAAGATACGTTCATAAAAATATTAGAAACCGAAGATCAATAAACATAGTCTAAACAAGCAGAGGTAAAGTCGCGGTAAAGGCATTTCAAGACAGCTATTTATAAACTATGCAAAAAAATGCACAGGCGCTACATTGCTTCATATACTTATGAATATATTTCGACAGTCATTTCTCCTGGTGCTCGCAATGAAGCTTTGCATGTTGTCTGTATATTATTAAAATGTTTCGGCCTTTTTCTGTGCGAAAAATGATAACGCATGCTTTGGCTTACAGCTATTTACTATACGGTGTTACCATCTTTATGGGGTGCTCCCTCTTCTGACGTGCGAGAATTGACTCCTTGCTAAGAGATATTTTGAAAAGTGTTTCGTTTGACAGGCCAGATGTCTCAAGCGCGTGTATATTTCAAAAGCTCCGTCTGCCATCTTTTTGGGGTCTTTTTAGAGAAACTGTTGTGCTTCACCATTTCTGGCATTCTAGTTTTATTACAGCCTACATTGCGCAGCGACCTATGAGGCCATCGCTTATTGTGAGCGCACGAGAGTGTATTAGGTTCCGCAAATATTTTACAGCCTACCGGAACCCTTTCAATCCATAACTTCGAGGCAAAAGCTCAGGAAGGCATTACGGAATGTAGGGCGGTGAGGTAAAGCTTTATTGCCGTTGTTTTTTCATGGTTATCAAAAATTTTTTTTCTTTTCTTTTTCTAGCCCTCCTTGTGATTCCCAGAACGTGTAAATTTTGAAAGTGAAATAACTTTTTCCACTTTCTTAGAACGTACCTTACTGCATTGTGCCTTTCTTTTGTATCGCCACCTGCCGATCCAGGTCCACAAGATCTTGCGGCTTTCACCGGCTCGCTATTGCATTTTTAAAAATATTTTCTCAAATAAAACTATGTTCTATACTATGTTCTATATAACGAGGGTATTTACAAACCAATTGCTTTAACAGTAACCACAGGATAATGTGGTTAATATAAAGCTGTTTTTGAAGGTGCATCATACCTGTCCGTCCTTATCTCCCCGAGATGAAAATCCCACATACCTGGTCAGTCTTCTATGAGGTATGTTGCATCTAGCCCAAATTCAGCACCGAGGCTGACGGCATCTAGGGGAGCCATTTCGAAGCTGCGTGAGTTTTTGTCATAAAAGCACATTTTGGACTTAAAACACGCGAAACATAACTTATCTCTTCGGTACTGTTACTAATGATCAATAAACAATTATCTGTGTGCGGTACTTCGTTAAAATATAGACGTAAAACTATAAGGTCTTGTGTAATGTTCACCAGGCGGCGGCAAAATGACGTCACTTTCAGCTGGCCGTTTATCACGCTAATGCTTACTACCTCGTTGGAGGAGGCAGACACAATAGGGTTTATGCAAACCATGATGATAACAGGAGCTGCCCGGCACCAGTGTCGCCCCGATTTCTGGCTTGACGTGGCTTCCATGCTGAAGTGGCTAAAGCCTGTCACAGCCAACGCTAGCCACGGCAGCATTGCTTCGTGCGATTCGTGCTGCGCAGCGTGACGCGCATTGTTGGGCGTGAATTGGATCGCATATCAAATATTTAGGTGGACGGTCTGGATTAAATTCGGGACATACAGCTGCCATCCCAAGGACGATGCGGGACTGGGGACCTTTAATAAAAAGTCGCGAAAGTTGCTGTCTGCTTCAATTCGATAAACCACACTAGCGCCAGTTGGACCTTTAGAGTTCATTATTTTAACTCTATGTGCTTTTAAGGTCAGAGTAACGTAAGAACATTCGGTTTATTCATTATAAATAATGCTTCGTGTCTTTTCGATAAAAAATGGTGTCTTCGTGGCGCGGCCAGAACGTGATTGACATTTAGACAATGAAATAGGCCCTAGGATTTCGTTGCAGAGTCACTTTAAAGGGCCGATGCAAGGACGTCTGCACTTTGCGCAAACAACGCTTAGAACAGATCTCTGACTTATAATGACCTGTGAAACACCCCTTCATTTTTCACCACACGCACTGGAGTTCGCAAAAAAAAAAATAACAAAAAACGAGCAGCGTTCACCCCGTCAACTCGTCGGCAGAACAAGCAGCCACGTGATTTGGAGCCCCTTATATGCCGCCAATGTTGATCATAGCCACGCGCTGGGGTTGGAAAAGCACAGGAGACGCGCTGAATTCTAGACATTGTTATGGTTCTGCTATTGTCGTCATTGCAGCGATCGGACACGGACCACTACCCGAATGCTACACGAGCTATCGATTATCACGAGTTCTAATCGAATGCCCACACAATACTCGGGTCCAATGTATGAGCGGAATTCGAATGTCGTCACTGGGCGGTGCTGCGACCGCCCAGCTACGTCATCAAGTTTTGCGAACGAGAAATTGAAATAAAACGCTCGCGTTTGTCCTTGACATTACACAGCAACAAATGAGCTTCTTTGCCAGAGGAGTTGCGTGCGAGTTTCCTTGAGCCGCACTAGTAACAGTGAGCTCTTGTAAAGTGAAAAACATTCCAGTTGAATATTTTGGCACGGCCCCTTTAACCCTCAACTCAAAAGCGACATGAGAAGTCATCTGGTCGTGACATGCTTGGCCACCGGACGTGATGACTCCAAGCTTCCACTGTGCTTTCTAAGCACGCCAGGAAACTCGTCATTCGCAAGTTATATTAAGTACCATCACGGCAATCCTTGGCATGTTGCTCAATTATACAAGCATTAAGGAGAATGCCGGGAATGTCAGACTACGCGCAGCATGCACTCGCCTTCTCCATATAAAAGATTCGAATGACCAAAATAAGGCGTTCACGAATGTGCTTGCAAGATGATATATGTTTTAGGCCTTGGCCTTAGAACAGTTATTGCTGCACCGGTGGAAAAAACACATTTAGGTGATGACTTCGGCCGCTCTTCCCGCGAGGAGCGAGCGACCAGGTCGTGTTCTGTGCTAGCCTAGAACCAGGGGTCGTTAGTTGCGCGCCGCCCCGGAGAGCACTGCGGTGTGGGGTACCTCCTCGGCAGCCACGGTGACGGCGGCGTAGCGTGCTCGAATATTTCGCTGTGCGGTGGTGGTGGTGTGCGGCCGGTAACCGCGTGGTGCATTATGGGAAACGTCCCATAATGCACCGCGCCGAAACGTCGCGAGGACGGGAGGAGGAGAGGGTACGAATATGGAGGAGGGGCATACACTCTCATCAGTACCCTCACCTCCTCCTCCTCAAGAGCTTCGCTCTAAATCGGCGTTGCAGGAAGTTGTAAATATACTTCAATTTTTTGTCTCATTAAACAATACGCGATTAGCAAAATCCCAATTTATCTCGGCTCGAAATTAATTTTGTTGTCTTTTTTTTATACTGCATTCCATACATTGACATTGATAACACTGCGGAGACCGTACATCATTTTTATTTTGCTGCATTTCCGTTCGAACCTTTAGACCAGCGTTCGCCATCCTCTGTTATCAAGATGGAAGAATAATATGGACGACACTCGTGGATTGAGAGTCGGTTTATTTTTCCCATAACCGCAGGGCGTCTTGGGCAGTTCTCGAGGACTCCGCCATTACTGCCCGCAGTCCCGCTGGCAGTCTGCCAAAGTGGCGAACCTCTGGCAGTCGTGTGGACCGGTCACCGACGGGGTGGTCACACATCGCCCCGTTCCCGGGTTGTAGCGGGCTGTGGTCGTCACTGTGTGGTTTGGGTCCGGGTTGCCAGGATTGGTACAAGCTGTGGGTAGTAAAACACAGGGGGGATAGGTGATGCTTCGGGTGTTGGGTATATACCGAAAAAGGAAAGCAAAAGAGCGGTGGCTAAACAAACACAAACTTAAACTGAAAACCGACACGAAAACGTTATTTTTATTTGAACCGGATCAAAACCAAATATGTAAAGGAACATTTGACACTGAACCCAAACCGGAACGACAGCACGATCTCAAGTGGCGATTACCGGCTCATCAGGAAACGGTTCGGCGTAAAGAAATCTGAGCTGCGCCGGATTTTGCGCGTGGCGATTGATGACGTCAGTGGCCCGGTGTTACCTAAATACACGGCAACAATGCAGAGACAAGTCAGGAACGAGTAAACGAATAAATCAATTTCGCGCGTATACACCCGCCCTGCACTTGGCGTCGGGAAGTCGGTTTGGAGGAGCAAGCTGGCTATGCTAGGAGGCAATATTAAAGTTTTTGTTTGTTTGCTTTCATTCTGCTAAACAATGCTTCGCAAGAAAAGAGGAAAATAACATGGTCCCCAAATTAAAAACGAAAGCCGACGCGCTGCTTGGGGGTGCTCGTTCTGTTGTTCTAGAAAGCCAAGGCGGAACCTCGCTCCGAGAAGAGAGGAGCGGCAATGTAAAGCGAGGAGTCGCCTGTCACATAGAAGCTCAGGCTCCTGGACTCTGATCGCCCGGTCGACTCCGATGCACCTTACCATGGACTACAAGGCTGTTACGAGCCATCGATTCCGAATATCACAATCATTTTACCGGATGTTGTAAGTAAACGCGAGAAAACACAAAAAACCTCCTACCAGCCTTCTGTCATACCCAGATATTTTGGCCGCCAAGCGCGTCTTTTTAACCTTTTTAAAGATAGCAAGAGTGTGAGTGTATATTGTTGAAAGGCGCTAAAAATGCGCGAGGGTGGATAATTCGAAAACTCTGGATATGACACTCAAGATGCGCAAAAGCGGTGATTTCGAAAACTCTGGATATGACGCTGAAGATGCCCGAGAGCGGAGATTTCGAAAGCACCGGGAAGAAGGGGCTTCAGCCGTACTTCGAAAGCATTTTTTCCATCCTCTGTGCACCAAATTGAAAAAAAAAATTGCGTTATTCGTGATCGTGGAGGCCAAGTATAGACTATCTAATTCGTTTTTCTCAAATACAGACGCGCTTTAGTTTACCTTTTAACGACTGAAGTCTAAAATGTTTCGTTTTAGACGTTTTAGATTATGGTTTACCGACTAAGCTTAGAATTTAACCGATGTTGTCAATAACGGCACGAATGGATACGCAGGGCCCAGTGCGGCTTTGTTTTCCACAAGAAGGAAAAGCTTGATTTTTTTTTTCTCTTTTACAACTGCTGTGAAATAACCGGTAGCGAAAAATATAGGGTGGTTCAAGTCACCAGGCTCGATCTAAAATGGGCCATAAAAATCGACGCCTGCACGTAGCAATCTAAACTTTTCGTCAAAGGTTTAATTCACAGGTCGGTTTTTTCTTGTAAAATTTCAAAGCGTAGCTCTCTTTCTGTAAAAAATAAGGCCATGAAACTTGCCAGGGTCTACGGCCGGCAGCAACGCAGACGACAGGAGTCCAGTAGCAGCGTGTGTTTGGCGTTCGTATTGATAGATGGCGCTACCTCCTTATCGCGACGGCTCGCGAACACCGTGGTTTATTAAAATGAATATAATTTTTTTAAATGTACCTTCGGTTACAAAATGAATGCGAACAATAAAAGCAAAACTTAATGTAAAAAACGCGTCTGCATAACGGCGGCGCTTTTGCTGCCAACGGATTTCGTCTGCGTGTCGTCTGCTATTTTTCGCTGGTCGGCTGCACCTTCAGACGCTGCTCCCGACGCATCAATCAATGCGAATGCCAAACACAACCCGCTACTGGACTTGGTCCTCTGGGTCGCCACCCGCCGTAGACCCTGGCAAGTTTCTTGGCCCTATTTTAAACAGAAAGAGAGCTATGCTATGTAATTTTACAAGAAAAAACCAACCTGTGAATTACACCTTTGACGAAAAGTTTAGATGGCTGCGTGCAGGCGTCGATTTTTACGGTCCATTGAACCACCCTATATATAAACCCTAAGCGAATCGATAGGGATCACAACCTTCGGTTGTCAAGCTGGCACCCAATCTGAAAATGTTCCTTGCACGGTGGCTAGACTAGCAATTGTACCGTGGCTGCTCTAAAATTCGTTGATTTGAAGAAGAAACGCATATACTTATTAATGTTTTGTGTGCAAATATTTATTGCTCAGTGAGCGAAGTACTAATTGTGCTACCTATGTGTGTTTAGGAAGCCGGAACCTAGTAAGGTTCAATGAGCGTCTAATGTCTCAGCTATAGATAAGTGATATTTGCCAGTGCAGTAGCGCTGCTTGCCTGGGGTCTGTCAGGTGCATAGCGACGTAATGATACACGACATCACGCCGGTACATGGTTCTTATACAGATCGAAACGGGCATGGGTGGGGATTAAAGCCACGGAATTTCTCGATTTAATCCGCACCATTGAGCCTAGTAGTCGCGAAGTAGTTTACGGCATTTGAGCAAAACGACGCGATATAAAAAGAAATATAGTCGCACTCAAACTGCTACTTCGGGCCTTGCAGTCTCAGAGCCAACAAAAAAAAAAAAAAAAAGCAGATTGTTTACATGGTCTTTACGTTACATTATTGTACCATGATGGCAGTCAGTGCTACCTGTTATATTCTAGAACAGAAAATTTGGTAGAGACATTTAAGAGTGCTTACTGTAGGAATGCAAAAGCAATCCTACGCGCGCAGCGCGTTCTTACAAGCAGCGAGCCACGTCTTCCTTTCGCACACGGCGCTCCGGCGGTGACATCACGCTGCCCCACTACACAGGCGTAGCTAACCCTGGCGGCTTCACTACGACTTCCGGGACGAAGCATTGCGTTGCTGTGCTTTTGTAGTAGCGTAGAAAATTGATCTAGCTGGTATTTAGAACACATAGCTAAAACAGCGCACAAGCACAGGAGGAAGAAAATAGAAGACAGGAAAGAGTGCGGACTCCCCACTAATCAATTGTGAAAGAAAGGGAAAGAGGAAGCTTCTTCTTTTTACCTTGTGGGCGCGCGTGGAATTAATGTCTGAAGCTTCCTCTTTCTCTTTCTTTCACAAAACATAAGTTGGGAGTCAGCTCTCTTTCCTGTCTTATTTTCTTCCTCCCGTACTTGTGCGCTCTTTTAGGTATGTCTGCTGTGCTTCTCTTTGTGTTTTATTTCTGAGGCGCGCCTGCACTGATCTTAAGCGCACCCGCCGGCTTCCGTGACGAAACATCTGAGATGCGGTGCCTTCCTTTCTGTTTTATTGAGAAAGGGGAATTTAGGTGCAGTTTTTCTGCTACAGAAGGTTACAGACAACGGCTACAGACAACGCCGGCTTCGCTCCATGAGCCAGTTAACGTTTTCGCATTAAAACATATTCTGTGGTGCAAGACGTATGCTGCAAAATGTACACACTCAGCAGCACGCCACCACAATGCCAGGTGCCATGACATCCGTGTAAGCTATGTATGGGTACGCCCATCAGACATTCACAATGTGTTTTCAGAAAAAGCGGAGCAACTTGCGCACGGATTCATCCGCTGTATTTTGCGGGTAACAAAACTTGGTGACAAGCTTTGCAGATTAGTTTTTGCGCCGTTCAGCGCCTTCTTCGAGATGCGTTTGGTCACTCTGCAGATTTGCGGATAAACAAACTGCAGCAATACAAGAAATAAAAAAAAAATCAGTGATGACATACCCGTCATCACTCGGTAGTAAGATATAAATATTTCGCTGCGAGATCAGTACCCCTTTTAGCTGAGGTGAATGATGAGAATGATACTAGTTGTGTCCTGGTATTCGCGACTCCAGCAAAACGGACGCCGCCAAGCGGGAAAACCGGGAACCAGTCGGTCCAGGTCGCTCCGCGCCCCGCCGCGTCTCTGATGGCTTTCGCGGACACGTGCTGTCGGCGCGGGGGCGAGCAATGTAATTTGACGAAGGTCCGAAAATTTTTGAAGTTTGCCCGATTGTTCATTAGTGGGGTGAAGCCTCAGTAGATTGTTTCTTTCCATCACGTGTTTGAAAGCCCGTTTACTCCACAACACACGGTCGCGTGCTTTCATTTTTTTGGATGAGGAGGAATCACGGAAAAACGTTTTGATTTCTAGTCTGTCTCTAATCACATTCAAAGTGACGACTGCTTGGTAACTGATAAGTGGTTTCTTTATAAGGATGTAGAACAGTGGACTGAGGTCGACAGACGAAGGGTTTCACTGGAGGGAACACCAATGTTGCAGTCAAGTGAATGGGAAGGTTCGATAGCTGCTTTCCTTGAGTTTGGTTGTGCTCGATTAGCTTCAAGTTAATTTGAGCCACTAACGCCGGCCGGTGCGTTGGCTATTCATCTTGGCGGCTTTTCGCCGAAAAAGACCACATTGAAGGAGTTGGGCTAATTTCGAAATTACTTGATTCAGAAAACCTGCTCGCTGCATATGATTAATGAGGGAAATTATCTGCTTTCGAAAGGTGGGGGACGCGTCTCGCAAAGTTAGAAGCTGTCATGTCTTTAGGATCTATCGCGCCTCCAATATTTATATTATAACCCCTGTCGAAGCCAGCAGCAATATACGTCTACATTGCTCAGGTTGGCCGGCTACAAAAAATACTCATTTTATCCGTTCAGGATTCGAAGTCAAGTTCAATGCAGAGAGGTCTGAGTGAATCTCCGATGAAGACTCTCCCTCAGTTTGTCCGCATTTGTCTCCGTTCTACCGGCTAGAACCATTTGGCTAAGTTTAATTAGTAGCTCTCTGTCTGTCAAATATACTTTTATTCAGCAGTTCACCTAATATTTAGTCAACTAAGTTCATATTTCAACCCGAAGAATATGCTAATATCGCTTTAGTTGGACATAGTACATAATATAATACATAATCCGCATATTCATCAAAATGACTTCTCGATTGCTACTAAATCGAGAATTGAAATAAGAGTATCAGCTGCTTAGTGAAGCGCCAGCGAGTTGACATGCTCCTTGGCTCAAGAAGCGCTTGCTTAATTTTCGTAATTTTCCTGCAGCATGCGTTCTTGACCGAGCACATGACTGGAGCTGTTTCTTGAAACGCGGACAGGCACAAAAGCTCAATTCCGCGGACAGATAAGTCGCATGGTCGAGGCATGCGAGTTAGCTAAAAATTACTCTCGGTGGAACAATTTTATAGCCCTCGCCGCTATCCTTAGATGATCAAAACTAATTAGAGTCTATTACCGTTTCTCCGGAGCCCATAGTTTCGGTTTTGATCGAAGTCTTCGAAACGAAAGTTTGACATGAAAAGAACAAAATACATCGGCAAAACAAAACTATACTCGGCAAGTTTATGCGCACCGGCTACACTTAATTGTCTCAGTTCAAATACCCATAAAATTGGGCATTCAACAAAAGAAACTTTGTTAAATTGAATGCGCCACCCATTCAGGCGGCCCGGCCGAGCCGACGCGACCTGGACTCAGCCGCCATGTTTGTTTGGTGGTGGCGCCACCTATAGGTCGCTGGAGTCGCGAATACCGGACTAGTGCTCCAAGTGAGAATTCCAAAATAAAGCCACCCTGCTTGTTCCACGCAAGCAGAATTGCTGCACAGCACCATAAAACCGGAGTTGAACAAGAACAGAGTCACTCACCTTGGGGATAGGCGCACGTGTGTTGAGCACTGTCACGCAGCTTAGCATCTGAAGCCGAGATAGAAAAGTACACCATTAGGTTATCTTTTATCAGTGATCACCGAAAACGTGCCTATATTTGTTAGGCGCCACATTTTAGCAGACGGAGGTGTTTAGGACGCCTGTCATCAGAGTTCCTAGATAAAAGGCGCACTTTGTGTTCTCTACCCGTGCCCACCTTTGTTAGAGAGTTTTAGTGAGTCGTTTCGACACTCATGATTCATCGTCGAACGCTCAGCCGATAAGAATGATCATGCGCGCGAGTCGTCGGGGGATCCGAGATGCGTTTCTCATTCGTCTCTCCCACTGCAACTTCTGCAGTCGTCCCCGCAACGCAACAACCACCGTTGACGACTCAAGAGAAATGCAAAAGTCGGCCCCCTCCGCCTGCCAAGCCCAGAGTTAGGCTTACCACAGCGAGAGGCCATGTGCCATCCTGTTACATCAACTTCGTCTGAGATGTCGAACCAAATGGTTTCGAAGACTACTCACAATGGCAAGCGATCGGAAATGCTGTAAACTACGCGTGTGATTAAATTTTCGTGGTCTGGGCTAGCGAGACGCCGTGGAGACCGCAAGCAGACGAATTTCTATGATACACGACGTGAACTATCGTTCAAGCTCAAGAGTACGGAGACGAATCAGGTACCTTTGTGGTCATTGCGACACATTTTACTCTAACTTCAGAGTTCTGGACATTCCTCCCGGTAAATGTTTACTCGGCCGTCTAGCTTACAACATTGTGTGCTGTGAAATCCGAGCCATATATCTAAACGCTGCCGAACGTTTCAAATATTTACCATGAGATGACGCTGCCGGTCCATCGCAATCATCATCATTTTTTAAACGGTTGCGCTGGTATTGCGATTCGCTAAAACGATTTAAATTTTAAATACGTTTTCCCGAAATGAAGCAGCTTCACCGCGCATGGCACAAACGATTTTGCTAATGCTCCCTATTAAAAGGGACTGGATGACGCTGCAAAGTTTAGGGGACTAATTTAAGGGAGTTAGTGCATACAGTTCTCTCTTCGCGCCGGCATGCGATTCCTCGTGCGCGTAGACTGTCGTTACTAATCGTTACTTTCGAGCATGATATACTACTGCCGGAGTATATCATGCTATGCATCGTTGGTATATCGGCCAATAGTGAGGCAAGGGTGTCAGAGAAAATTGCTGACAATTCGGGCAAAAAATGTCCTACTTGTTAACGAGCGCGTCCTTATTTTGTCTTTGTTTGTTTGTATGCTAGGACCTGATTGTCATATACTCTAAGGCCTGCTTACAGTTCAGCGACAAACAGTCAAACGCGACTCGCACAAAGGACTTGTTTAGGTTTTTCTTATTGTTAGGAAAACATCCTTTTGTTTCTTTTCTTTAGAGTATACTGAAATGGCCATAAAATAGAATGCGTGAGAATTAGCCGATAGCAGACAGATAGAATAAAAGCACTAAAGTTGCTCGGTAATACTCCACTCATGCGTGTTGAGGGAACAAGAATGCAAAATATGGAGCAACAAGAGACGTGGAACGCGGCCGCGCCGTCGTCTGGTACATACCACGCGGTGTCAGTCCACACCGAAGGACTCATAAAAGTGTCAGCCATCATGGCACTCTCCCTATTTTAGCACGCTCCAACACTGCCAGTCACTGCTGGAGGTGACCACGTATATGGTGATGGCAAGAGGAGTGGCCTATCATGACCACACTTATTGTTTTATAGTAGTATTTTTATCGGGGTTTGTACGGGTTGATGCTGCATTCTTATTGTTCGCTAGCTCTATGGACTGTGCACCGAACACAAGAAGAAGAATATACTCACTGCACGCCACGGCGAGGCAAAGGACTAGCAGAAAGGCTGCCTTGGTTGCGTACGCAAACTTAGCTGCCATATCGCTCGAGCTTGTCGTTATGAGAACTGATGAAAATGACTCACGCTGAATAGGCTGATAAGCGGTCTTTTATACGCTTACTCTACCACGCAATCTCCGCTCTGTGTCGTTCTGAGTGGGGCGACAACACATTTTAAGATAATTTGTCTAACTCGAAATGCGAACGTCCGGTAATTTTTACGGGAAGGATGGAACCACGCGATAAACTCTGTGACGCACGACGAAGATAATTTGTTTTCTATTTCGTCCACTTCCCGTCCCAGTTGAGGACAGACTTTGACACTGCAATAGGCTCACTGCACGGCACTTACCTTCGACTGTTTGGCAAATGTTCAACAAAGGAGGATTGAGCACGTCTGTTTCCCACCTCGTAGTCTCAATAACTTGGCCAATTATAAAAACAAAAAAAAAACTTCTCCATCCTGTGTCAGAATTGCTGGGTGTTGTTGCATGCACGTGGCGGACATTACTATTTCTTTTTTTTCTTTAACAATTCAAACATTTTGACAGAGACCGACACTGATGCTCGATTGCCTCATGGAATCACTATATAAGAGTCCCTTTATCGCCATGTGCAGCACGTTTCCAGATCATCACGAGTCGTATACACAAGGAACTAACTCGACATGGCAGCTAAGTTTGCGTACGTTTCCAAAGTGGCGATCCTGCTGGTTCTCCTCTTCGCCACGGCGTGCCGTAAGTACTTCGGGCATGTATATTGTGTGCATTACTTAGCACTGGAATGAACAGACCAGTGTCTGCTCTGTTCCATGGGCGCCGCCATGTTTGCTTATGCTGACGTCATGACACAGAAGGGGGGCTGCGTTTTTTAAAAGACTCAGTTTTTTTAGAAACCTTTGCCCATATCGTATACATCGTTTCAGCCTAGGTCCGAGCGCGGCCGATGTTATGAGCCGAAGGGCCAATAAACAGCGAAAGAGGCACAACGTCATGGTGTGCTCTCTGCAGTTGATAGAAAGAGCCGGTATTCGACGTCTCTCTTTGCGTGCTCCTCCGCCGGCTAGTCCTATCAAGCGCAGCGAGCAGGCCATGACGTTGCGATTTTTGCGCTGTTTGATTGGCCCTGCGGCTCATAGCATCGTCCGCGCTCGGACATAAGGTGAAACGAAGTATAGTGCAAGAAGGTAAGAAATGCACAGTCACGAAGCTCCAAGAACCACACCGACACCAAGTGTGTTGTAAAAAGCAAAACAATTGTTTTATGCGCAGCCCCCCTCTTTACGAGAGCCTGCGTGTGAGATTATTAGTTTCCATTTTTATCGCTGGGGGCTAGGATATCGGACACTGGTCTATAGACCGAAATATGGGGCTCGCAAAAATCACCAGTTAAGTGAGTCCCTCGGGGATGAACTTTTAGATGCGGAGCATCTCTTGCTCGGGTTTATGTCCCGCGGCGTCGTAGTCCGCACTCACACTACGCATGCGCAAATCTCCTCCTTTACTCTCTCCATCAGCTGCGCGTTACTCTCTCCGCTCTCTCTACCAACTGCGTGCACTTCGCGAGCGTTCGCTTCTACTCACACCGCGCGCGAATGCTCAACTCTCCTCTTCTAGTCTCCTCTCCTGCAAGTGTGAATATAAGCAGTGGTAGCGAGCTGCGCGCGTTCGAGGGGAGGAAGTGGCCGAGTGGGCTAACGCGTCTCAGCTCGGAGCGTGGAGCGAATGTTTGCGCTGGGAACCTCCTAGGTTCGATCCCCGCCGCCCCCGCCCGTTTCGATCTGGATGAGTTTCGTACCGGCACGCGTTCGTGTGATCACTACTGCGTGATGCACGTTAAAAAATTACACCATCTTCCCGAGGGGAACCATGAGGTGACGCGGAGCATCGCGGAGTTTCCAACAACGTTCACGCGATGTGTGGTAACCAACGCAAGTTAACAACGTAATAACACGCAAGTTAACAACGTTACTAACACCGTTAATAACGATCCGCGATGCTCCGCATCACCCCATGGTTGCCCTCGGGAAGATGGTGTAATTTTTTACTTGCAAACCTGTTGTCGATGTATATCTGTTGCACCTTCTCTCAGGGTACGTATTCGTCAAGTGATCGGGTGATATCAAAGATACACATCGAGCGACAGCGCACCCCGGCGGGGCAAGGGGGGGGGGGGGGGGAGGGGAGGAGAGAGAAGATAACCGTCGCTTAATCACCATTTTCAACGCTTAACGAGCTTGCGTTAATTTAGTTGTCAAAGGATAATTAACGCCCCGAAGTAACGATACTTCAAATACTTTGGTGCTTAACTTCATTGTTACCAGTTATCAGAAGCTTTATTAGAATTTAGAGGAAACACTATTCCTTCCTTCAGGAATAATAAATAGATCAACGACATAGCAAAACAATATCGCCTATACTCCCTGTTACCACATCTAATGCTCAGGAAGGCGCGTTTTTCACTGCTAACAATCGCCAGTACTATTCCTTTTCAAAACAGCTTCAAGCAACATTGGGGGTCACCATTTCTATCTATCATGAAAGTAATTCACGGACATTATGACAGCAGTGCTTTAATCGGTTTACATCCGCTAAACTCTACAACCTGTAATACTTGGAATTTGAGCTGGAAAACTCCCTGCCACTTCGCATTTCTCTAGGTGTTGAGTGATCTTGGGCATGTAACGCGATTTCAAACTTGGTCAAGATTCGTAATCTGGTGCGAGTAAAAATCTTTATTCTTAACCTTTTTTTTATTCGTAAAGTCGTGTTAATGTCCGTACGGCTAAATTTTACTTCAGCTTTCCAACAAGTCAACGCGTCCGCGTTTATGTTAAAATCACTTCAGTAGAGCCACTAAATGCGCAAACTTTATGGCATATTATCGAAAAATATTAACGCTTAAGTTTTAACCGAGCAATACCTAGAAAGGAAAAAAACATACTTAGGAAATCAGAGAGTTCCAAATCTTGCTGACACTTCTTATTTTTCTGCGTACACGTTGGATCGCGGTCTTTGATTTTTACGTTGTTTTTTTTCTTTTTTTTATTAAGGGGATTAACTTTTGGTAACATGACTTAAGAGATGTAAGTCACGTTAGGGAACGAAAATCGGATAAATAAAATGAGAAACGAAAACTTTAAAACAAACGATTGGGATCAAACATGTACGCCTAAAATTTGAAACTAAATTTTTCATTTTTCGTTTGCAAAGTTATGTGTTAACGTTTTGTTCCCACTACTGCTAAAACAATATATTCTCTTGTTCATCAAAAAACCCAGTTTATGTTTTGACGTGCAACCTTCTATAAGCATAATACTTTTTCAGAAACACGGTGATTTGTGGGAAGTCCGTGACAAACAGCTCAAAATAAAAAGGTATCTCAAAGTAACTTTTTAAAAGTACTTGACGCTTATCGCTGGAGTTGTGAAAGGACCTAAAGTTTTCTGGTTAACAAAATATAAAAAAGACGCGACCGTCGATTGGCGGCGCCACTAGAGCGACAGCAATCGCCAACAAAAAATATTTTTGGTAATGTTTTTTTATTATTATTTTTTTTCTTTTCTTTTAGAGATCTTAATCGCAAAAGGAGGGCGCAGCCAACAGGTGGGGAATCGGGGCTAGTGCAGTATGCCACCGCTGGGGGAGCAATTTGGGGCCTGAAGAAAGTGTTCCTGTTAGGATATTTTTGTGGACAGCGAAATAATCTTGCTTGTCCCCATACTTCATTTCAGAAGCGGATCGTTCCAACTCTCGGCACACTTGTGCTTACCCTCAAGGTATGTAGTGATCCTGGTACCCTCTTGTCGCTCATGTTCTAATGCCGTGAGGGAACGTTGCTCGCCTGTAGAACAAGCACGAACAGTTGCACGTGACGTCATTCAAAGAGTTATCACCACCAGAGAAGAGGAGAAGAGGGAGTTCCTTTCTTATCAGGATCCTCTTTTGTTCCTCCCGGATTTGCACATACGTCCCGATTCTCGTCCCAGAAGATTATAGAACATTAACCCGGCCGTCACTCAAAATTCTTACAAAAGCAGTTTCCTTTTCCTCCTCTTACATGGTGGTCAAAAGTATGCGATGTGACGTCAGTGAAACAAATCCCGGCGCTGACAGTTAAATCGGCTGTAAAAATGGGTCCTTGCACGTAGAGGTCTCAAGTTTTTATCAAATCTGTAATTTGGCACGTCAACGGAGATGGTGAAGTTCGCGACGGTTTTACTTGTGGGGCGATCTCCTGATACGACTGCGAGCAGACGACGGAGTCACCTGCATTCGACGGAGCTCGTCTGCTCACTGCGCCTATTGGAAAATAAGACCACAAGTATCACCTTCGCTAACTCAGTTGTCCAGCTGATGTCCTCTGCGCTGAGCTTGGCAAGTTCATTGCGTAATTGCTTTCAGAAGAGGATGCCTACGTATTACAATGTGGCTCATGAAAACATGCCTTCGATGAAAACTTGAAATTCCAAAGTGTAGGAGTCGACTTTTTTTGCCTGTAGTATATATTGCCAGTATGTATTTCCACGGGCTTCTAATTTTTATTCTCCAAAAATAATGTTCAAGATGTGATAATTTTTATACAGTGCACTCAATACTATATCTAAGAAGGGGAAGTGTGCTTTTTCGAAATTTGTGTTTGTGAGTACTTTCAAAGTATAACGTTTTGCGTAAAAAACACCTATTTTTAGAGCGCAGCTCTTAGGGGCCCGTTCCCGGCTTGAGCGGCGTCGCCGTCGCCGTCGCCGTCGCCGTCGGCGTAACCGCGCGGTGCATCATGGGAAATGTCCCATAATGCACCGCGCGAGTCCCCCACAGGGGTCACGTGACCTTGTGGGGGGTCACGTGACCCCCCCCCCCCCCCCCCGAGGTCACGTGACCACCTCCTCGAGGTCACGTGACCCCCCGAGGTCACGTGACCCCCGCCGATGTCGCGTGACCCCCCGATGACGTCATCGTCACTGATGACGTCACCGGCATCCACATCGTCATCGGCATCATCACTGATGACGTCACCGGCATCGACATCGTCATCGTCACTG